GAGCTTCAGGAGTTGTCCTGGCGTGAATTTGTGACCGAGAGATTTCGTTTTGACCCCAATGGCTGGCAGGAAAGAGCTCTATGCTAGCACGAAGCTGGCCATTGTAAAGCTGAGTCAGAATGGTGAAAAATCTAGTCAGATTGCCAGGATTTTGGACCTGAACGAGCGTACGTGCCGTAGAGTCATTGCCAAACATATGTCGATGGACGTGTTGAAAACTAGAAGTGTTCTGGCCGGCCCAGGGTGACCAGGGCCAGCTACGACCATCGTCTAAAGATACTCCATATGGCAGATAGATTCAAAACCAGCCCGAAACTGAGAGCTGAGACGACCTAGCAGACGGATTCACGGGTGTCTGGACGAACGGTGCGCAGGAGGCTGCAGAACGCAGGCCAAAAGGGCTGCATCGCAGTGAAAAAGCCTTTCATGTAGGCTAAAAATTTGAAAAACGACTAAAGTTTGACCAGGCCCACAGGAACTGGACAGTGGCAGATTGGAGTCGTGTGCTGTGGACCATGGTGGACTGATGAGTCAAAATTCAACTTCCATGCCTCTGATGGAGTGAGGTTTGTTCGCAGGAAGCCTGGAGAACGACACAGCCTGAATTGTTTGCGTGGTACTGTGAAGCATGGAGATGGAGATATCATGTATGGGGATGCTTGTCGGCGACGCGCGTTGGACGGCTTTTCAAGGTCGAGGGCATCATGACAGCCAACCAACACATGGGCATTCTGCAAAATGTCATGCTGCCGTCCATGACTGACCTTTTTGCTGATGAACAGGCTATTTTTCAGCAGGGCAATGACCCCAAACATACAGCCAAGGCAACCAAAGCATGGCGCGCGACGCAAGACTTGACGGTGATGGAGTGGCCACCACAGTCACCAGATTTGAATCCCATCGAGAATCTATGGGAAATGCTCAGCCAGCACTGCCAGGGCAACAGGAGGGCAAAAAAAACGACGGTGAGCTCTTCACTGAGTGCAAGCAGGCATGATATTCGATTTCATTGGATATCTGCCGCCGCCTCGTCGAATCGATGCCGCGCCGCATGGCGGCTATGATCAAGAACAAAGGAGGCCCAGTAAATTGGTACAGGCTGACTCCAGAGAGTCTGGCCTTAGTTTCTGTAGGGATTAGAACAGTTTAGATGAGAAATAGTTGACTCTACGCCGCGTATTGTAGATTGTGCAATATTGGCCAAAAGTGATGTCCGGCCGCACATTGCCATACTTAGGGATAGGGACACAGAAAATATACTTTTGTGAAATATTTTTGAATATTCTCCTCTAAACTTTGTATCTGCTCTAGAAAATGACAGGTGTACAGCTTGTTGTGCCATTTTGTTGAATATAACCCAGAAATCCACCTGCGGACAAGACTTTTGGCCACCACTGTATGTACCCATCCATGTACATGTATGAGCAGGTAGGCACATTTTTAAACTAATTTTTGAATTCGCATAACCCAATGGGCGGTGTCACCCAATTGCAAGGAAGCGAATGGAAACCGTGAATAAATTATTGTAGAAAATAGCCTACTAGTAATAATTATTACGATAGCAGCGTGTAGTACAAAGCAAAGAATGCTCAGTCAACGGATAACGTTAGAACAAAAGACAGGGGAGGCGGTAGACAGCACACGACTGGTACTGTGGAGTACCACAAACGTTCAAATGCACGCTTACAACAATTATTATGTATACAATAAATGAGGAGGCCGAGGGTTTATGACCAATAAAAACTATTATAAAAACCGAGGTCCCCCGAGGTTTTTATAATTAGTTTTTATTGGTCATAAACCCAAGGCCGGAGCATTTATTGTATTTAGAATCAACCAGTAAAAACTCCTACTCAATCTCCAACAACAAAATTAGCGGACAGCTGTTATTTGTGTTGCTATGACAACCCGTGTGCTGGACGAGTATTTGTTGTCATTGGTTCAATTTCTTTTAGTCTTCATAGGCTATCAGATCATTTTCCTTATTCGGTCTATTTATAACCAGTATCTATAATGAGAGTGTGGTCTGTCTCCATGGTTACCGGTGTTCATTTCATAACTATAGCCACTGCTCCTTGTTAGACCTTATCTGGAAGGCCCATTCTTGCATATTCCAACAGCAGCCAAGGGAGCTAGCTCTCTTGGTTATGCGGACTGGGTCCGATCCTAAAAAGCTGTTTTTATGAACTGTTTTTATGAACTGTTTTTATTGGATAGGATATGATTATGTTCAATAAACGAGGTTTGTGTCAATGGGAGATTGACTTGGAGTTTTTACGAGTTGATTCTAAAGTTTAATAAACGACATTATTATATCAATGCTACCAAGAGCAAATAAGCGTATTTACTCTTGATGCTACCTGTATCAATACAACCGTCAAATTGAGAATCATAAAGACTACCTTCTCAACAAAACTCAACGACAAGAAACATGAAAATATACAGTGTGAATTTCATTTTCGAAGATCAGCTTGTTGCAACATTACTGTAGTGGATGCCATGTCGTGCTCTGGCGATGCCGGTAGCTAAACCGAGTGAGGGGCATTGCCGCTTAGTTTTAGTGCAGGCTGGCAGGGAGTTCCGTGCTGAACAGTCAAGCCCCGACCTCTCTCCCGCCGGCCTCGACGCTCTGCCACAGCACACCGTCCGCAGGCAGCAAAGCGACACTTCAGTCGGGTACTCGGTTCCTTCACACAGCTGCATAATATTTGGATCATCACTGAATGAGACCATCTCGTCACTCGTCAGTGAAGGTTGATATTGTTGAATGGCTATTATAGATGGCTATTATAGATCATGAACATCATAATTATCTTTCAGTCTTTACTCTTCTGCAGTGAATGTGTGGGCGCTACTAGAACATCATGAGTATCACCCCGTTATACTGAAAGGGGAAGCAAAACTGAGCGCCTAGTACCAGAGGAAAAGACTAGGACTAAGCAAAAGAACCATGTGCAATGAATATGAAGTGATAATGATAGTAAAACGAAAAAACCCGAAGTCACAATTTTGCACCCTGGACTGCGGACTATACACTGTGGGTGTGAATTTGATAGATGGCACAGCATAGCAAGTACAGTGAAACCTGTCTAAGGAGACCACTCAAGGACAAGGGACCTTCAAAATGTGGTCTCTGTTACCAGGTGGTCTCCTTATCCAGAATCGTTTGACTGGAAATAGCATCCCGTGGTCCTGGTTACAGTGGTCTTCTGGGACAGGTGGTCGCCTTATCCGAGTGGTCGCCTTGGCAGGTTTCACTGTAGCAACGTGAGAGGTCCCTCCACCCACTCACCAACCATACCGTGGCCATAGAAAAGCCTCTTGTACGGGCAAAGCAAATGTGCTTACAAAGTTACATTATGATACAAATCTCAATAAAAAAATGGATCAAAACGCCAAGAATCAGGAGAAAAAGACTCAATCCAATCCTGTGTTGCCATAACGGGAACTGAAATCCAAGTTACCCAACACAAATCTAATGAGGGCAAGTACAGACAGTTGGCCATGGTGACGTCCGCACCACACCGTCGTCACATCACAGCAAGAGTACTCGTATGACTCTGTACTGTAGATTGTAGATCCCATTCCCAGGCAATGCCTGGCATTCTTCACTTCTTTCCATGTTACTCCCAGTTACGATCTCAAGTTGGGTGGCTGTTGCTTTGCGTTGTCGAAATTGTGGTTAGACCGTATTGTCCAATGGTCTTGCCCTCCCGTTTTCGTAACAAGCCAGCGTTCCACTGTGCCTTGGAATGTAGCTTGTGTTCGGCTTGATGGCGCTTACCTTCCCCTCTTTGGAATTACATGTATCACTAATAGCCTTCCAATTCAACTTGGTAAGTTGGAAGGCCATTGGTTAGCGCTATCGAGCAGTGCTCGAGCTCACTTCCTTGCCGTGGAATGTCTCAGTACCTTGTCAGTCTGGTGCAACCTTGTGCACGTCTGACTGTTCAAAACCTAGTTTAGTTGGTGGACTCTAAGGCATAACTTGTGCCCCACCGTTTTCCTTGTTTCCATTTTTCCTTGGCTCCCTCACTCAACTCACTGCTAGAATCTCCTCCGTCAGTGTCGTTTCCGTCGGCGTCCTCATCGTTGGTGGTCACGTCCACTGTAGTCGTCACGCTGGGTCTCCTCCTTTGTCGTTGTTGTTTGCCGTTCATACTGTAATTAGCTGTTGAACGTCTTGGTCTTTGACTCTTTGAGAAGTTGTTGTTGTAGTCTGCTCCGATATTGACGACGGTAAGGTTTGGTCAGAAGGTGGTGGATCCGGCAGGGGGCGGATGCCTGGCGTTTGTTGAGGAGGCAGAGCCTTCCTGGATTTGCCACGACCTGTGATATTGATGGACTGTGGTGTCGGCTTTACTGTCAAGTCACCACGCCTAGGCCGGTCTTTGGGCGCTTCCTCTGATAGAATATGAAGTGGTGTGTGTTGCTTCAGAGATGCCTGGCAGTCACACTGTGCATCTACTGCTTACACAGCTGCATAATGCCGTTTATTATTTTATTTATTATTTTACTGGTTTGAGGGAAAGAGACAAACGGGAAAAGTCTGAAGAAAAAATTGACTGTCACCACCAGGACTCGAACCAGGGACCTTCGCTTGTAGCCAGCGATGCTCTAACCACTGAGCTATGGTGTAGTCGTCATCCCAGCATCATCATTCAACATTTTCTTCAGACTTCGTAACTCACAAGCCGTATCAAACCTGCACATTCTGAGGTTGCCGCAGTTTCTATCCTGGGGCTTCCCCAAGAGTTTTTTATAATTTTTTTTTTACGAGAAACCATGAACCCCGAGAACAGAATACTGCATGGTAGAGGTGGCTGCAGGCGCAACTGTGGTGGTGAAATTGGAGCATCTACCATATTCCGCAGCAATCATATGCTTCTACCACCGCGCAAGTAGTAACACGCTATATTGTTAATTTATGGTAGATGCACACATACATGCAGGCACACGGGCAGGCACACAGACCAACAAGACGTCACTGCTAGGACAAGTACAGTATAAAAAGTGTTTGAAAAAACTCAACACTGACGGAGTATGACTGCGTTTGTAGCACATTCCAGCGCCTTCTTTATATTAATGATAGGATGCTCTACACCGGGATCGTGAGCAATGTACACAACTATTGCATGATCGTACTGCACTAACAAGCACTATCGAAACACCAAGATCAACAACACAATGGTACAAACACGGATGAATAAAACGGAGAGTAAAAAACACCATTAATAGCATTATGCAGGAGACACTTGTTACAAGGACCTACATGGAAAGTGCGCGACGATGGCAATCGATCACAACGCTGCGCGAACTACCAACACACAGCAGCTATTCGAGCTGAGGCTGGGATAAGCTGTGTTGTAAAGAGAGAATAAATCAAAATAGGTGGGTATTGGACTGGCTTAAAGCGGCGTATATGAAACTCGACAAGGTGAAGCAAAACACTGTGCTGCACGCACGCGCGCACGCATACACACACATGCACACACACACACACACACACAGACACACACACACACAGACACACACAGACACACACAGACACACACAGACACACACAGACACACAAGCACACACACACACACAAGCACACATGCACGCACACACTGGGTGGTGGCAAACAGCTGCACTGGACGGCAGCGGCAGCATGAGCAGGGATGATGGCCGCAGCACAAGCAAGCACCACAGCCATCAGAAGCAGCATCAGCAAGAGAAGTGGAGAGCAGATAAAAGCAGACTAATCGTTATCAACTATTGCATGTTGCGCTGAGTAGGCCAAAAAATACGACGAGGGGCCGCTTAGATTATTTGTTTAAAAATATTCCAAACACGCCAGGGCAGCAGATATGGTCCAGGGTACCTGTGAAAAGGGAGGAATGACTGTTATGATATTTACACAGGTATATACAACTGCGGCTTTTGCAGAGAAGCTACGGTACATGCTACTGGCCACAAACCTCTTTAGAAACAAGACGGCGGTGCTGGCAGTAATGTGGGGAAATGCTGGATATCAGCACAGCATCCACACCCACAGACATGTGCACACGTGGCCGTCAGGTTTACAAAAAGCAACACAAGACACGGCGTACTTGCGGAAGTCTGGTCGCAGTACTGCTCCGGTCGGTGAAGGTGAGTGTCCTGCACTCACTGGGTAGGCTTAGTTTGCCACTGCTTTCACGCACGCAACATATTACTTGTCTGGTGATGAGCCCCGTGCCCGGAGTTGGTCAAAGTATTCCTGTTGCGATGCGGCGATAACACTAGCCAGAATACTAGCCTCATCCAGACTGTCAACAGCTGAGAGAACGCATCAAGACAAGAGGGAAAAGTCATAATTTGTTCTTTTACCACTGTTTACTTCTTTTTTTTAAAACTGAACAGCGGTACATTAACAAATTACGCCACAAAATGCTGGCAGATGCTGTGGTTTACGTGGAGCAGAGCACATCGTTGCATGTACATTTTTCTACACTACATGCATGTGGCAATCTGCGTGGAATCATGCTCATGTACAGTCTACTGGCGATAAGTCACGCACTTTTAAGGCACGTACTTGCGATAAGTCGTGCACTTTAGCAATTTGGACGACATTCACTTTCGTATACGGATACTAGCATGTAAGTCCCGCACTCACGATAAAGTCCCGCACTCACGATAAGTCCCGCACTCACGATAAGTCCCGCACTCACGATAAGTCACCCATTTGTTTTCAAGACAGGGTGTGCGACTTATCGCGATCGCGAGTACAGTATTACACTGTACATCAAACACACTGGAGAATGTATAATGATGCTTGCGCTCATTGCAACGAACAAAATGACATACATATTGTATGGTGATGGGTGCAACAGAGAATTCAGGACACCTGTAAATTGAGGACATTTTGGCCTCAGTCCCTTGGGTGTCCGCAATTGTAGTGTGGAGTGTGCTAGCACTTTGAGGTACATGTCCAGATGTAGCCGAATCGCACACACCACACACCACACATACACACACACACACACACACACACACACACACACACAGATAGAATACTAGCCGAACCACACAACTCTAGACAGCAAGAAAGCAGAAAGAAAGCACTGACCGTTACTAGCACCCAGTAGCTCTGCAGTGACTAGGTCTGCCGCAACCATGGCATCCCGTTGCTCGAGTAGAGATGGTGATCGTGGCGCTGACACAGACGACGCTGAGGATGCTAGCACAGTCGCCGATGCTCGTGACTGCTGGGCAGAGTGAGACGAGACCGCCAATCCTACTGATGTGCTGCTCCCTGAAGTCGAAGCAACAACTGGAGCAGTGCCAGGTGCTGACAGTGTCCCAAATGAAACACCACTGCTGCTACTGCTACCAACAAAAGCAGAAGAAGTTGCAGCAACAGTAGTAGGAGCTGGGGTGGGTGCACCTGCCAAGAACGGCGACACAGAACAGCAGGCAGGCTGATGGAGACTTTGCGACGCGCGGCGCGGAGGAGAAGGAGACTGTCGTGGGCTGACGACACTAGATGCTCGGCACGATGACTGCGCACGCGAAGCAGCAGCAGCACTTAGCGACGTGCGTGCAGTCGCTAACGGCTGGCCACCAGCCGACGGCGCAACGGAGCGGTCTGTAGGCCGTGCTGCGCCCATGCCTAGCAGGTTCTCATTGCGTATGCGCCGCAGTGCAATCTGATGCTTCTGGACGAACTGCAGTGACTGCAGCGACGTGACCGGTGAGCTGGGAGGTGACGGCCGTTTGGATGGACTGTAGCTCTCATCATCCGATAAGCCAGCAGGAGATGTGCGCGGCTGTAGTAGACAGCAACAAACAGTTGTGACTTGAACTCAGAAAAGGCAACGTCTTCACAAGAAGCAGTGTGTGGGTGTGTGTGGGTGGGGGGGGGGGGGGGGGACGCGAAAACAATGGCAAAGTGAGCTCAAACCAGACCCATCACTTGTAACTTGTACTTGCTCACTGCCAAAACTGGTCAAGTGGGTCTCCCGGGAGAGGGGAGAGAGATTCAAAAGGAATCTTGGAAAAATGACTCAATTGGCTATTGAACCGCCTAACAGCCAACACCCCCTGAAATCCCCAAACTTTGGGTGGACTTGGAAAATGATCCCACTTATGGGCTCACCGCAACACAGTAAGTGGGTGAGGACAAGGTGCAGAAAAAGGATTGACGGCATCAGGGTATCCGTCCCGGGATCCAACTGCAGTTACCCCTGCCACCAGTGAAGGTACTACTTGCTACTAGTGTGGGTGGCTAAATCAGAGTGGATCTGATATACGCTTCACTAGCACCATGACTACACAAGAGTTAATCCTAGCCAGAAGTAGTCCATGGTTAACAGGTATGTATACTTCAAATATAAAGTATATGAACCCTGAAACCAACACAGGTGGTAGCTACATTACGTCTTCAACTTTTCAAGCAGCCGAGCCCGTTGGCAACAAACCCAACACTAAAGTAGAAACATCGCAAGCTTCCAGTGCTAAAGCCGTCCAATTTAGGCCAAGCCAAAGAATATACTTGATGATGGTCCCCCTCCCGCCCCAAATTTGGGGGCCGCCCGGGAAATTTTATTTACTTTCGGAGGTCTAGTCTGTACGTACGGAGACCGAGCAGTTTCACTTTTTCACAGTGAAACCTGACGGGAACATCGATTTCGGTTCCAAACTTGTACACATTTTGAAGAACACAACCAAGTTTGGCACACTTTTCACAAAAATGTGCTCTGTTTCCGGAGTGCTGTTTGGTTGGCATGAGGCTGCTCCATATGCACCAGCTGCTCGATCCTGTTTTAGATCGTACCAACCAAACACACCCTCAGTGATCAAGCAATAATGCATAAAAAAATTATTAAAAAATCCGCCCGTCCTCCAGTTTTTTTCTGAAATAAAGGACGATCATCAAGTATATTCCTTGGCTTGGCTATATAGGAAACAGTCCGAAATTCACTCTCCGTCCGAAAAGGAACTTTTCCGATTTCGACAGGAAACTCGAGGATTGTACTGCACGCACATGCATTGTAGCAAGGTACAACACAACTGCGTACATGCAGCCGTGTATGCAACCGTGCGGCTTACCGCACCACGAGAAAGATTGCCCATTGCAAAGTACAAGTATTGCCTCTGGAGCACAGGTGTCAGCTCTTGAGCGTAAATTATTTTCCACTGGCAGTGCTGGATGTGAGCTAAGCCACTACACCACAGTGTAGGGAGATTATCATGATCGTTTTAGGGGCCGTCCGTAAATATCGATATTTTTTCAAGACGATATTTGTTCATTTCTCCCCAGACCCCCTCCCCTCCCTCCCCCCTCAAAACAAACATACACATGTTAATGCCAAGGATCGATATTTGTAACGAAGTGCAATTTCCTCATGAAACGTGACCAGCTGCAACTCTAATTTCACCATACACCTAGGTTTACGTTGCCACGGTCGCACAACCTTGCCATGGCTATGTTCACGAGGTTGACTTTCACTTTGTGTAGGTCATAAACTACATGTTAGAACAGTGCCCGTCCATAGATAGAGTTCGATATTTTTTCTGCAAAGAAGAGACGAACAGGGCCCCAACCAAACTACATGTTAGAACAGTGCCCGTCCATAGATAGAGTTCGATATTTTTTCTGCAAAGAAGAGACGAACAGGGCCCCAACCCCCTCCCCCAAACGAACGAATATCTTCTCTAAAAAAATATCGATATTTGTGGACGACCCCTTACAACAACAAAAAAAGATGCCCTTGCAAGAAGGAACACTCTTCGGGCCCAAAGGCGCCAGGATAGGAGAGGGTCGCAATGTACTGTTGTGGACATGGAAATCTGGTCGCACGTCTAGCGGCTCCAGAGCGCTGGCCATGCAGCCGTGGATAAGCGGTACACACACGCATTGTATGCGCTGCAGCGCGCTAGTCGCATCGGATCAACATGTCATGTGTGCTGCACGCAGCGTTCTGTACGTGCTGAGGGCGCCGGCCCCGGTCAATCAACCGGATTTCCATGTCCACGACAGTACATCGTAAGTCGGGGACCACAATTCATGGCAGGTGCGCCCGGTCGGGTCCCGATCCGACACAAAGCGTGTACGATTGTGCTCATAAGCTTTAACCCTTTATTGACTGGACTCAATGTATGTGGAGAATTGTGCCCTCAAATTCTTTACTGTAAAACCGGGAATTTTCGGTGGTGTAATATTTTTGGTATTTTCCAAAGTCAACGGTTAGGTGGCGCGAAAATTTCGGTAAACCCAGTTTTCCAGACCCCAAAAAAGCATTTTGTACACTGTGTGACATGGCATTGTTGAATTTTACGTCGGGTTTTATTTTAGGTAAAAAAATACCTGTACCGAAGTTTAATATACCGAAAATATATCTCCACCGAAATTTTCCAGTACCTTGAATAGGATGTAACTTTGGTTTCCCTGGGACATGTGTCATCATCTTAGGCGTCCTGGAAAGCCCCTGACGAGAGGAGCACTATGAGCCTAAACCTGAGTCCACGAGATGCGCTGGACCAGCGCTGCAAGCCAGCGAAGGCGTTTCAGCGCAGGGCTCGCGCTCTAGATCGATCTCCATCTGCCATTTCACTTTCCTTGCTCGTATGAAGCAGAATATTTTTGTAGGCACTCGCGGAAACCACTGTTTGAATTTGAATGAGTGTATCCTTGCCAACAGTCCACGAGTTCAGGGAAAATCCCGGCCGTTAAGTCACGCATCGCGGCCCTGAGCGTCGATTGACTGTGACGAAAGTTACGCGCGCCGTAACTCACTCACCGTTCAACCTATAGCTTCGGCGATTGTTCGAGATGACAGCTGAGAGTTTTCTCTTCTTCCTACATATTTCGCTCTCTCCAAACGACTGAGAATTGACCAAGTGTTAGTTACGATAGTTTGATATTATTTGAAAAGTGTAGAATTTATCCATCAATAGAGAGGTTCCGCACTACGTAAAGTTGAGCAACTTTACGTTAGTGGGCGGGGAAAACCCGTGAATTCGCGAGTTTGCACTCCACTTACGGAAAGTTGTCTACGTAGAGTACGTAGATAGGGCTCTGATAACGTAGCTGGTCCGTAAGTGGATTGGGGTACAAATTTATGACTCTCTCCCCAGGTCGATCTGGTCGTACACTGCCGCGTTCGGAGTTGCCAAGGGCAGCTACGTGATTTGAAAACTCCGTATGGCGGAACACAGATGCGCATGCAGTTTACGTAAGACTTTCCGTAGATCCACTACGTTTTTTACTAACGTAATTACGTTATGCGGAACCTCTCTAATAGTGATCGATAAAAGTATGTGCAATCCGTAAAGGGCGGTCCAATATTTTTTTCTTTTCCTAAAGTCCCCAGATTGGAAGATTTCTGTTCCAACCGCCAAAGCATTTTGAGTTCACACGCATAGAGCACGGCAATCTCTGCGTTTGGTTCCAAACACATGGAGACACAGAGGCATACAAGGGATATTGCCAGCTCTTGCAGCGCAAAGCAGAAGGCTCATTGGTATACGACAGTCCAAAGCATCGAGCATTGGGCACCGACACATACCGATGAGCGTCGACGCTTGCGTCTGGCACCATCCGCTACCTTATCTCCTCGGTCCTGGAATAGCTCCCGATACGACATGTCCTTTACTTGCTGCTCCATCTCATAGGCAGTGGCCTCCCAGTCGCTGGCTTTCATTTGGTTACGTAGCATCGTCTGCAATGCAGCCAACAAATATGCACGCACGCAGACACACAAACGCACACACGCACATGCAAGCACGCATGCACACAGGTATGCACACAGGCATGCACACAGGCACGCACACTTACTAGTACCATGTGCTGTATATGCCGGTGTTGGTGACTGTGCAGTGGGTACGGGTTGCGATTGGGTCGTTAGTCCCTACACGTACTCAATCACTAGAAACTCTTCTCCACTGAGTTGAGTGAGTTGACTGCTACTCAGTGCTCTGCCTCATTTCAGTGCACAGGTTTACAGGTCAAACTGCCATAGTTCACTAAGTATGTATAAACATGCCTAACTGGAACTCTTTACCTCTTCTAACTCGTGCTGCTCCGATGCAGCATACGCATCCTTCAGTAAGCTTCGATCTGCCAGCTGGCAACAGCAGGAACCAACAGAACAACAAAAACGCCAAACCCGTCAGCAAGCTACCGTACAAAACTAGAATCGCTTACCGACGTTCACACTCTGCTTGGAAAGTGGATCATATCCATCACACAAGATACACAACTGACAGTACAGGGAGAGGTGCTGTCGCTACCCCAGCATACCTGTTAGATACAACTCATACAGCGTGAACACTAAACACAAACTCTGCAGTCAAGCGCGCACATTTTGTGACTGCTAATTCGGAAATGTACCAATACATAGTACAAACATCAGGGGCGTCGGAAGGTATTCAACATTGGTGCAGCCGCACAAAGGGGGGGGGGGGGGGGGTCCGGGGGCCCTCCCCCCGTGACATTTTTTTTGGAAAAAGGCTCCAAATAGCCCATATTTTATTGCTTCAAAAATCACAGATTATATTTGACAAGAATAAGCACTTTTGAGAAGAACATACCGGTAATACAATTTATATGCGTCGTACATTGTCCACGCACCAACCTGTATCGTACATGTAGTCTTATGCAGGTGTGGGATACCCCATACCTTTTAGGCGTGAAAACACGTAGGACGGATTTTCAGAATTTCCATTATTATTGGTGCGGCTTTGGCCGCACCTGCCGCACCGGTTCCGCCGGCCCTGTACATACAGGTAGTACGTCAAGTACATACTATACGGTGCCGCCAAGTTTGAGATCAAGGCACAGCTTGATTCCAGTCACAATAGTGTAGGTCGGTGTGTTTGCAATGTACGCACCGCCGCCTAACAAGCACTTAGGGCGCGTTCAGACTGGCGTGAACAGCCGCGCCGGTATGCTGCAGCGTAATCCCGGGAATCGCAATCACACTGCACGTGTCTCCCGCTGGATGGCGAGTGCATGTCGTACTTTTACAAGCTTTGACAAGCTTTTTAAATAATCAATCGACATTGGAAAATTTGATTTGGCTCAGGTTGAGTTGGACATCAAAATAAACTAATTCAGTCTGTTGAGATACTGGATCATTGTGCTTTTGCTTGTACTTGTCGACGGAAAGAATACGATGAGTATGCTTCTCATTTGCAGTCAACGTTTTGCCTGCAGAGCCCGCAAAAATCACCACGTGCAGCTCCATGAGATCCCTCTCCATTGCTGAGTCGAACAAAGATTTCGGCATGATGGAAGAAGTTGGCAGTCTAGAAGTCAAAACTCAAAAAGCAGAAAGAGTAGAGGCTGAAATAAAAAGAAAAGACGGAACATGCAGTGCTATTTACGCCAGTCTGAACGCGCCCTTACCCCCGGCTCCAAGCCTGCTAGGCCTAAACCAACACCAAAGGATGGGTTGGCCGGATCGATGACGGCATTGTAGTGGCTGTTGTAATGGTAGCTGATGCGAATCGGTGCGTTCTGTTGATGGTAGACACTTTGAAAGATGTTAATCGGTGCTGTGGGCGCAGAGTTGCAATGGGGTAGTTTGATCAAAAAAGAGGATACCACATGCACATACACATACACATGCGCACACATGCGCACGCACGCACACACACACACACACACACACACACACACACACACACACACACGCACGCACACACAGACACACACATTTACATGCAGAGGTAAATAGGAAGCCACGGCACACAGGCACATGTAGTCATGCAGACAGCTACAAACTGAAATGGAAAACAGTACACCCATATAAACATTCACAAAACACAGTAGGTGACTTCAACTGCTCAAGGCAGTGCTCAATAGTAGCAATACCCCGGTGGTCATGAAGGTAGAGCTCTCTAAGGGGCCGTTCGTAATTGTCGATCTTTTACACGAAGCGGAGTTTATGGGTGGGTGGGTCGAGGAGTTTCGTTTTGAACAATATTGATAGCTGAAACACCAATCAATTTCAGCTGTCAAGTCCATTTTTTTCGTTCAGGGTAGTGGACGGGTGGGTGAGGGTCATAACTAAACTTTTTCGTTCCGTGACAATTATCGGTAATGCCGAATGGCTCCTTACAAAGAAGTCATAAAAGTCGTTGGTTGAAATTCGAGTTGAGTTGCACCATGCCAGCTCCATTCTTCCACTAGGTCTGTATGGATCCAAGGCAGGTAAGAGGTAAAGGATATCTATACTTGCTATATGTTTGTATGGTTGGTGACCTACCAATGACCCACAGCACCTTAGATTGCCGGGGCGCCCGGTTGTACCCAGGCGCTAGACGAACAGTTTCAGACATGTGCCCACCCATACAAATGTCCATGCGCGATCCAAACGGAGCCCTAATTCGTAATTTTACTCTTTTTACCGAGACAGTAACGTTACCCTTTCAAGCCCCTACTTTGGCAATCTGTGCTCAGCTTACCAGCCTCATATTGATACACTTCTATTGATCGACTGAACAACTCAGACATCGCCTGGATCTCAATGTTGTTGCCAAAGCAGCTCGCCTCACTCTTCCGTCTCACATACTGCCGCACGTCCTCGGTTAGGTACTGGGAAAAGTGATCCGCATTCTGCAACTGCGTAATCAGACGGAAAGGCACAAGCAGTGCACGTGTCGCATGCCAGCAAACACCCCCACACACCCACACACAGTGCCATACCCACCCACCCACACCCACACACAGTGCCATACCCACCCACCCACACCCACACACAGTGCCATACCCACCCACCCACACCCACACACAGTGCCATACCCACCCACCCACACCCACACACACAAACACACACGCATCAGCATATATCCACAAGCAAACAAGCGCAACGACCCAACAGGTCACGCACAGAAGGAAAACAGATCTACAGAAAGCTGTACGAAACAGCTAGAAATCCTGCACAGTACTGTATACACAGCAAGATGCATGGGGAGCATGTCATTGATCATTTCCACACAACCCATAGGCAATATCAATATGGTGCTGCATGGACCCAATCATCAATATATGCCAGTAAATCATGACCACGTGCATATAGAATAACGACGGCCGTATCACAAGCGGGGACTATGTAGCTCAAAACCAACTTGTTTCAGCCCTGAAGTATTATATACATCAGTGCCTACTGTACACGAACAAATAGGTGCTCTTGGATAAACGCCAAGCATGCTGGCGAGCACGTCAGGTGTCCCTTGAAATATGAGAGAGAGAGAGAGAGAGAGAGAGAGAGAGAGAGAGAGAGAGAGAGAGAGAGAGAGAGAGAGAGAGAGAGAGAGAGAGAGAGAGAGAGAGAGAGAGAGAGAGAGAGAGAGAGAGAGAGAGAGAGAGAGAGAGAGAGAGAGAGAAAGAGAGAGAGAGAGAGCGAGAAAGAGAGAGAGAGAGAGAGAGAGAGAGAGAGAGAGAGAGAGCAAGGAGACAAGAAACCTACAATATAGTCCATGCAGCATTTTCTGACTGAGCCATGGAACTCCTGATCACCGTACACTTGCTCCGCTGATAAACACACATACACACACACACACACACACACACACACACACACACACACACACACACACAAAGACAGACATGTGCATGTACCGTTAGGCAAAGCTGTCTGAACTGGTCCGACAAACCTACCATAACCTACATAGGGCCGAGCTGTGTGTATGTGGCTACATATATCACCAACTCCGCATAACACCCATGGTCTTGTATCCGAGTTTCATGTTATTACTCAATGACAGGTGAGTTGACCAGTTCCCTTTGATTCCCTTTGATTCATTTGCTTGTGTTGACTATCATTTACGAAAAGTGTGCTGATTTTGGGTGGAAGGCCAATACGAAAAATATGTGCTGATTTTATTCGAATAAATCCTTCTTGCAGACTCCTGGAGATTGCCTCTTTATTCATATTCGGACAAATGTTAAGCGTTCGCTATTGACCTGGAAGGTGTCCAGCATTGCGTCCAACAATTACTTTCCCACTTCAAACTCAAATTCATGGTTTAATGTTCTTCTTTATGCTATACTTCAGCAGAGTTGATCACGGCAGCGCAGGTTGAGACAATTATAGAGGTAGAGGAACGGAATCTCCTTCTCCATCGGACCATGAGCCTCAACAGCAAGAGCCTCCGCAGCAGCAACCGCAAGAGCACGAGTTGACCACAGCAGCGCAGGTTGAGGCAATTATAGAGGTAGAGGAACGGAATCTCCTTCTCCATGAGCCTCAACAGCAGGAGCGGCTTCACCAACATCAACGTCAGCAGTATCCACTCCCGCAAGAATCTCCTCAGCGGCAGCAGCAACCCATTCACCAGCAACCGCAAGAGCCTCCGCAGCAGGAACCGCAAGAGCAACCGCAAGAGCCTCCGCAGCAGCAACTGCAAGAGCCTCCGCAGCAACAACCGCAAAAGCCTCCGCAGCAGCAACCGCAAGATGCCTGCTTGTATAATACATTACAAGTTATACATGTGCTGTTCCTCTGTACTCTGATGTACATATATATATATATATATATCAGTAGGGGTGATCCCGTCCGACGCGAATAGTGCTCAATAGTACGGGGGTACTAGAGCCAATACACACTGCACGATCAGGTCCTCACCAGAGATATATCATCGTTCTTTGCAACTCTGAGTTTCATGAAATGAATCAATCATCAGGCAATAGAAACAAATTGATACAGGGCAACTAGATCACTACAGGTTATATACCCAGTCACACAGCAAGCGCGAAAGAAGGCACTAAGTTAGGGGTGAGAATATTCCGTGCTAAAAAAAAGCAGGCTTCAGGTGGCAATGTTTAGGGCTCTGTACTTGTACTGTGTGCATGTGTTGGATATGGTGTTGGGTATGGTGTATGAATTGGCAGAGTGTGCAGGCTGTTCACGCGATGCTCATACGTAGGCAGGGCGTTGCATTTGGCGTATTGGTCATTCTATGTGACTCCTTGGAAGTTCACAAGTCGGAACTTGTTTGCGTGCCTGCACTTTGCGACGACTTCGCTCCTCTTGTTCAGTGCCAGGGTCTTATCAGCAATTAGGATTCTGGCCTTTTCAGTTGTGCAGAGTTTGCATCTTTTTGTTGCAGGGTTGTAGGAGCTGGTCCTGTCTTTGATCTGCCAGGTAAGGTGGTACTCTTCCTTGCTTTCCTTCTTCTGCCACAGGTGTTCCGACAGTGCGGTCTTTTTTCGGTGTTTCTCGTGTCGGAAAGACATAGTGTGATTGTTGTACCGGAGTTTGAATGTTGTGTCTGCCGAGCCGATGTACACCTTTTGTTCCTCCTGGCAGGCTACGGTGGCTTCATAGACGATTTGTGTGGCTTGGCAGTGGCCATCCAGCGGACATTCCGTTTTTTCCCTGCAGTTACATGGTTTTTCTGGGCTTTTTTCCGTGAGGTGTTGTTTGTTGTGGCTGCTGATTTTGGCTGCGACGTTGGGGAGGCAGGAGTAGCTAACTTTGACGTTGTTGTGATTGAATATCTTTTTTAGCTCGCTGTTTCTGAAATGCCGGTCAATGAGCCTCAGGAATCCGGCGGCGACGTTATATATATATACATTACTGAAGGATGTACCCAGAGTGCTTGACAGTGCTCAACACCACAAAGGCAGAGCGTAATACACAACAGAACAACAAGGACAATCAAGGCTTGTTTGCTGCTACTTTAAGTTTCATGCTTACGCAATCATCAGGCAACATCTTGTTGCCTGATGATTGCGTAAGCATGAAACTTAAAGTAGCAGCAAACAAGCCTTGATTGTCCTTGTTGTTCTGTTGTATATATACATTAGTATGCTCAATCTGCGGACAGCATGAAAATTTCCGAAACCAGATTTAAACCAGGCCCAAACGTAGCTTGCCACATTTATATGCTGTTGTCGAGACTGAAGATCATGCAAGTGCACACGTGTATTCATGTTCAATGTGCTGTGTTCCCTTGTTTGTAAGGTAACTATGGTCAAATTATCACTAGTTGCAATTACTCATTGAATATTGCTATTCTTCTGTTCTTCTTTCCTGTGTTCTTACAGGGTTATTCAATATATATCCTACGGGAGTCGGCGGCGAGGCCGCGGCCGTGGGAAATTTGTTTGATACTATAATTATATGGAAATAAAATAATTAAAATCGAATTTTTGATTTGAGGTTAACCCTTTGTGGACGGACTGTACGAGTTTCGATCTAATAAGATCGAAAGTCTGCAGGCGGTAAAATCTTCGTAACTCCATCGTTTCTTGAGCAAATTCCACAATCGAAGGGTCTACGTGGTAGCGGAAACTCCAAGCTGTCCAATGCAACAATCGCCGAAGAGTTACGATGTCGGACGCCAGAGATATCGCACGCCGTATTCTTACCTCGGCAAATTCAAATTTTTGATCGATCATTTCGCCATTTTGGGGGAAAACCCCTTTTCGTGTGCTCTTTGAGCGACTGAGCACATGATAATGACGTAGCCGGCTGAAGTTTGAATCGTCTCAAACAGATTTGAGCGTTCTGCGATGAAGGAGAGTGGAATGGCGTTGATGGGACGAATTTGCTTGCATATCAGGCTTGGAGACGACTTTGCTGTGTTACCGCGCCTGATTTGTGGCGGCTGGATAATGGAGATTGGTACCCTGGCGTAGCTCTCGTCAAGAGCTTTCCAATGAGCCCTTGATTGTGAAAATCAAGTGAAGGACACCAAAGTTTTGACATGGTAAAGTTGAAAATTGTACTGACATTTTGTAATTCTGGTGCGTACTGTGCTAGTAATCCGTCCATAAAGGGTTAACTGTGATACTTTTCTGATTGGGGTAGCCACAAAGCATTAGAATTTAAAATTTTGGGTCAATCGGTCCAGTGGCTCCGGAGTTATAGTGGATTGTAAGTGCGACAATTACAAAATTGAATATGAAATAAATTGCATGAAATTGCAAAAAACAATTAAAATTTTCACCAAAGTCATTTTTGCGCTATTTTCATCAATTTCGATCGTAGCGCTCTAATTTTTTGACGCGAGCTAGCGGGCCTCCTCTGTGATCCGTTGCCGTGGCAATCATTTCCAAAATGGCTGCCCTTCATGACGTACGCGTGGTAGACAGTCAGCTGACATCAAAATAAATTTTGTCAGCGAAGTGTCAGCAAAGCAAATAATTGTTGTAGCTTTGTTTCATCAAGCCTTGTCAGTTTTGACATTGCTGGAGACGTAAGCCGTGGTGGATCATCTGCCATGGGTAACAAACGCAAGAGCAGGGTTCTCAGCAGGCCAAAGAAGTGCCTTCCCCCGCGGAAAAGGACTGTCTTGGCTCGTGAAGAGCCCACAACTGAAGATGGTGATTTGGACGTATTCGTCGCAGCATCTGAGGATGTTGCAAATCAATCTTCCGTGGCATCTGATTCTTGTACTGGTGATTCAAGCGATGAGGTTATGTCCAGCGACGAGTCTGATGATGATGATGATGATGATGATGATGTTTGTTGAGCGCCATACTGAACTGAAGTACCCACTAGTAATGGGCATACTACGCACCCGTTTGTCTTTCTGCTTGCTGCGATGGGCAGTCACCTGCTTCCGCGGTTGCCGCGGTTCGTACGGCAAGAGGCGACAGCCGAACTCATTTCTGGCCCAGTGCCGCCAGGCGGAGTAGGGTGCTGCCTTTGGCCTCAACTTAATATAATGCTATTTTGGTTTTTTCCCCTTTTATTACTCTGTGTTCATTGCTTGTTTTTGTATTGATTTACTTCCTTGACTGCTTTTGTGTTTCATCATTTTCCGGTTGGTTTTGTGTTGATTTCCCCTGTTCACTTTACATATTGTAATGATATACATTTGCTTTGCCCGTAAAAGAGGCTTTTCTCATGATGATGATGATGATGATGATGATGATGATGATGATGATGATGATGATGACAGTTCGGACGAGCACAACAGTGGTAGCAGAATCGTCCACTTGCCATCCCTGACACGTCTTCTTGGCTCATCATGTGTCTGTGCCAACTGCAAGACTGGGTCATTGCTCGTCCACGAGTCGACTCGATATGGCCTAGCCCCAATTCTTGAGCTTACCTGCGATCACTGTGGGCATGTATTTGAGGGCCGCCTTGCTGAAAAACTAGGGATGAAACGATTATACCGATTACTCGGAGCTTACTCGTTATCTCTGTGATCGCTACTCGTTATGCTGTTATCGAGTATGCAGTACATGTGCATGTATGCATTGCTACATGACAGTTACACGCAGATCGACGGTTCATTTAAGTGCACCCGCGTATGACCTGGGTGCTGCATGCAGTCTACGGTAGTACTGCCTACTTGAAGTAGGCCAGCGCCGTAGGTGGCACTGTCTGCATGGTCAACTATACTTACTTCAGCACAATCGTCAATCGCGGTCCGCGCGAGTCAACCAAGGTGACAAAGTTCACACATTTTCCTGTCACCTTCGTACTTTTGGGATCCGGTGCGTAGGTCTACACTGCATGCAGTAAAACAAACTGTGTAGGACATAGTCGACGCGCCCGATGACCATGCAGGAAGGACACTGAGCGCGTTTTTACCATGTTTCAAAGAGACCAGCGCAGTGCAGTGCTTCGACATCGATGTGGTGCATGCACATAATGTGCTTGTATGCGTCATTGTGTGTTCTTCCTTTCACTTCGGTAGTTTTCGATGCAGTTCTTTTCGAGTAGTTTGTCGTGGACAAGTATCAGCAGTTCAGTAGTTGGTGTATCCTGTTTCGTGCGTGATGGCAGCCACGCCGCCGAAGATATCGCGTGTGAAACGATCTCCGGTGTGGGCGTACTTTGAAGAAAACGGCCCGTCGTCCGTTGTTTGTAAACAGTGCAGTGGGAAGCTCGCGCGTCAGAGCGGTACCACAAACTTGTTCAATCATTTGAAGACGCACCACAAGGCCCAGTACATCGAAGTTGTTGGTGGGAAGCAGAGTGAAGAGGCGAACAAAACGGCAGTAGGAACTAAGCCAGTGTCGACGTTCTTCCGTAGCGACCAAAAGAGGCCATGCGACAAGAACCGAGCTGGACTGATAACGGACTATATCTTGGACTGGATTGTCGACTCGATTCGTCCTCTGTCGATGGTAACTGATGCAGGATTTATTCAGCTAATGCAAGTCTGTGAGCCATCGTACTCAGTGCCGTCAAGGACCTACTTAGCTGGCTTGCTGGACAAACGCCACAAGTCTTGCAAGCAGGAATTGGTCGAGCTGCTGAAGACAGAAGGAGCGGCTGGTGTGTCCCTCACGACTGATGGGTGGTCCTCAACTGCGACGCAGTCATTCATCACCCATACCGTGCACTTTATTAACTCCGACTGGGAACTCTCCAGCGGGGTGCTGGAGACAGGACTATTCGAGGGAAGTCACACTGGTATCAAACTCGCCGACTTCACTGACAGGGTAGTGCTGGATTTCGGTATCCAAGATGGAGTGGTGTTGTCTATCTGCCATGATGAAGCGCGTAATATGGTTGCTGCTGCACGAATGCTGAATGAACGCAATGAGTGGACCAGCCATGTATGTATGGCGCATCGGCTTCAGACAGCGATCCGTCACGCTCTGGATGCGAAGGAGTTGGCATCTCTCCTGGCAAGAAGTCGCCGTCTTGTAGGGCACTTCAAGCATTCTTGCCTTGCAACAGAAGCTTTGACCAACAAGCAGCTGCAACTTGATTCGTCGAAGCAGCCTGTTAGAGTAATCCAGGACGTAGCTACCCGCTGGAATAGCTCATATTATATGTTGCGCCGCCTCGTTGATCTGAGAGTTGCTCTGACTGCTGTGCTCTGCGACGACAAGCTAACTCCGAAGAAGGCCGACCGCGAATTGCTCTTGAGGGACAGCCAATGGAAGTTGGCAGAGGAGCTAACGTGTTTGTTGGAGCCATTTGAAGTCGCCACCACTGTCATCAGTGGGCAGGCATACGTCACCCTGAGTCTGCTAATGCCGATAATCTCGCATTTGCACCAGACAGTCTCTGCAGCTGCTACAGAGTCTTCCTCGGCTGCTTGCCGTCGGGTTGCGACAGTGCTGACGTCAGAACTTGAGCGGAAGTTCCAGGATGCCTTCCAACCTACTCCGTCTTCTCTCCCTCTTCTTTGTTCTGCGTTGGATCCACGGTTCCATCACCTGTCCTTTCTAGATGATGACAAAGCAGAAGCAACAAAGCGAACCATCTCTGAACTTGTACACCTGCAAAAGAAAGATGTCAGTCTGAGACCGGCTGAGGATGAGTCTGTTGAGCCAGCTCCGAAGAAGCCTAAGCTGACAGGCCTGAGCCGACTCCTTGGTCCGCCTGCCAAAGTCACATCCTCCGCTACTGATCTGAAGGCTGCCATGGACAGAGAGCTCGAGCTGTTTTTCATGGAGGAGAGCAAGGATCTCGACATGAATCCCTTGGCTTGGTGGAAGGTTAATCACCATCGCTTTCCCCATGTTGCTGAAGTAGCAAGACGCTACCTGTCAGCCTCAGCAACGTCCGTTCCTTCGGAACGAGTATTCTCGTCGGCGGGATTGCTGGTCAACAAGCTGAGGTGCAGGCTCAGTCCAGCCCATGTAGATGCAGTCATTTTCCTCAACATGAATAAGATGCTCCGTGGTACCAGGTCATCAGCCTACCAGTCGTCCCTAGCTTCCGCTACCAAGGCCACTTCAGTACTCTCCGCTGTCAGCCAGGTTGCAGATAGTGATGATGAGGAAATTGGCGGCAGCTACTCACCTCCGTTCCCAGTGTTGGATGTGTCAGACTCCAGCTCCAGCGAAGATGCCGAGGATGCCGATGAGTAAAGAGGACACGTCGTGACATTGAACAATGATATCGTTGTGTTGTTCGTCTGCTAGCATTAGCGTAATAAGTATTTTGAAGAGCCTGAAATGTGTGCTTCAGATGCTTCTTAGTTTTATCGCATTCTTGTCTCCGGTGAAACTGTTTACTATTACAACGCAGTTTTTCGTTCTATTCTCTATCTGTCTTTTCTTCATGCCAGGCGTGAGCCATCCCCTGGATAAACAAAATGGGTGCTATATATTCCACAAAAATTACAACGCAGTTACTGAGTTACTTACAGTACGTTACTGTGTACATCAGTCCTTCATACATTATCATTATGTTCCGGAGATCAGCTAAATTTTGATATATCATATATATCCAGCAATTGCCAGCATACTCGTTTTATGATAACTCGATCGTTAAAAATAAACGATACTCGATAAGAGAAAATGGATGATCGTTTCATCCCTATGAAAAACATACACCAATGCGATGTTATGATGTGAACAGACGTTCAGCAATGGCCATGCGGATGATTGGCAAGGGAAGAGAAGCACTGAGGATGTTCTGTGCCATCATGGATATGCCTGAGCCCATGTACGGACGGTCGTTCCAGTCTCACTGTTCAGCATTGCATGATGCAGCAGTTGAAGTTGGGACAAATAGCATGCGGCACCATGCTGCAGAGTTACTGGCTATGCGGCAAGCAAGTGGATCTGACCATCCGTCACACGTGGCCGTAAGCACTGACGGCACATGGATGCGGCGTGGGTACTCTTCTGTGTTTGGTGTCCAAACAGTAATTGCGTACGACACACTCAAGGTGGTGGATGTGGAGGTGTTATCGAAGCATTGCAACCATTGGAAGGTTTGGGACAACAAACGCGACACGAAGACAGTCACGGCAGCGGAGTTTGCCACCTGGAAGGCTGCACATGCTGACAGCTGCGACATCAACACCAATGTCTCATCGCCAGCCATGGAGACTGCAGCAGTAGTGAAGATTTGGAATCGATCTGAGGCTCTCAATGGCCTTCGCTACACATCCTACATTGGCGATGGTGATTCGAAGGGATTTCTTGCTGTGACTGAACAGAAGCCGTACGGTGACGTGATGATCGAGAAAGAAGAGTGCATTGGACATGTTCGAAAGCGACTGGGAAAAAACCTTCCAGATCTTCGCCAGCGTCTTGGTACCAAGAAACTCAGTGATGGCAAGCCAATTGGGGGACGAGGCCGGTTGACAGAGAAGAGGATCGATTCGCTGCAACATTATTACGGTGATGCTATCAAGTCGCATGCAGGTAGTGTTTCAGAAATAGCCAGGGCCATCTGGGCATCACTCTGCCACAGTTGCTCAACAGATGAAAAGCCCAGACACGAGTTCTGTCCACCAGGCCTCAACTCGTGGTGTGGCTGGCAGCGAGATAAGGCTGGGTCAGGGAAAGCCTACGAGCATCATGATTCCTTGCCGAAGGCGGTCATGGATGAGCTGAAGCCCGTGTACCAACGACTGACGGAGAAGAACCTACTACAACGGTGTGCTAGATCGGCCACGCAAAACGTCAACGAGAGTCTGAATGGCATGATCTGGGGCTTGTGCCCGAAGGAGTCTTTCTGCGGCAAGCCCACAGTGGAAACAGCTGTGCATCTTGCGGTTCTCATCTACAATGATGGACACGAGAAGCTTGGCGATGTGCTCGCTGCGATGGGTTGTGAGCAGACCCCTTCATCAGCTGCCTTCCTGCAAAAATTCAATTCTGAAAGCAGGTACCATGCCAGAAGGAAGTCCTCAGAAGACCAGAAGAGTGCCAGGAAGAAGAGGCGTGCCATCAAAAAGGGTTATGCAGACAAGGCCAAAGAGACGGAAGGCGTTACGTACTGTCCTGGTGGTTTTTGAGTGCTAAAAGTTGCCCTTTTTGGGGGTACCATGTGACCTTTGGTACACCATATCTCCAGTTTGGTATGTCCAAATCCAGTAAACTATATATCTACGTCAAATTTGCAAGGTGCTCGCGTCTCTACTTTTGAAGATTTTGTCACATCTACTGACGTATGGGCACAGAAAGATAATTGGACCAACGGCGCGTTCTTTACGTGATTTCTTTATGTGTGTGTCAGCCAGATTCTTTACATCTAGAAGCATAAATCTCTTCGTGAGCATCTAGTATTGAGCAAGAACACTCATTATGTAACATAAGTATCTGGCTATTGCTAAAATCCTTGCAGAAAACTTGTACCAAAAATTTGTTGACCGCATTTTTGCGATATTCTTGTTTGGTGTGTCCAGCATACTGTTCTCCAAGTCGAAATGCATGTGTGGTGGTTGTTCAAGTGTTCTTTATTATCTGACCAGCATGTGTAGAAAATTTGGTGCAAAAATAATGAGGGATGCCAATGTTACAGACATTTGAATGCATGTATGTTATCGGCTGGCGCCGAAGGTAGCCTGCCACCTTAAGGGCGATTCACAATACAACTTTCTGCGACGCGACACGCGATTTGCGACAAGAAACTGCCTGTCGCGAGCTGTCGCAAGGTACCTGTCGCAGAAGTTGAAGAACGTTAGACTTTTGCGACATGCGAAATACACAAATGGAGTACGGTTTCGACCCTGGGTGCGTGCATAGTACTACGTGTGCATGAGGATATCCGGATGTCGCAACAAACATGAAGAATATTGTGAACCGTGTGTCGCTGTCGCAGCTCGTCGCATGTCGCGTCGCAAGAAGTTGTATTGTGAATCGGCCTTAATCCTCTCCTCAGTGTGATACGTGACTGCGTATATGCATGATTATAACCTCCATGCTGGGACCTTGGGGATGCATGTATGATTCGGACAGATTGATTGGAACTTGTTACACTGGACGTGCACAAGGCTTCCACATCAATGTGTACTGAGACTATGTAGATAGAGGCCATCATTTACGGCATTCCTTACAGACATAAAAAACAAAAGAAATTATAGCAATAAAAACTGGTTTATGGCAGTTTTCTAAAAAAGTTATTGTGTTCTAGTCCATGGACCCCGTCTAAAAAGTAAGAAATTAACGAAATGTGATAGCCGAAAATTAAAATTTCACACAAAACCTCACAATAATCACACATGGGATGAAAAGCAAGATGACCTTTTCCCCTCGTGGTCCTCTTTCATATGCATGCACGTTGGCGCAGTACAAGTGTCAGACTAAAAAAGTGTTGAAAGCAGTACTTTAGCTTAAAACTAAGATCTTCAAGTGTTGTGATTATTGTGAGGTTTTGTGTGAAATTTTATTTTTCAGCTATCACATTTTGTTAATTTCTTACTTTTTAGACGGGGTCCATGGACTAGAACACAATAACGTTTTTAGAAAACTGCCATAAAGCAGTTTTTATTGCCATAATTATATACATGTAATATTATACAGTTGTGTGAAGTGTAGATTCTCATGCAGCTTCTCGTGTTTTCATGTGCACTCGCACGCGAGCAAAGTCTCCTGAGCTACATGGACAGTACCGCCGCACGCAATAAAACAAGTAGGCCTTCAGTGCCAGCAAGTGTACTTACCTACAGCACGAAATAAACAAGCACCATCTTCGCGCATCTTTCTAATGACAAATCCAAGTTCCTTCAAGAGAAGCTGCTCAAATTGCTTCTCTTTCTGTGAAACACCAAACACGAAGATAACTGATTTGCAATTTTGCCCCATCAATTTTGCATGCAGTGCATGTCCAAAATATCCATACAATTATCTAAAATTAATACAAGATGGTGTACACAAGGACAAGCCCTATCCACTTGAATATCATGTGTATGTACATCACCCGAACTCAACTACGTGAACACAGGTAACCTTGCCTTGCGCCAACAAAGTAACTTAGTAACAGACCCTGGCACGACCCAGAACAACAACAAAAACTATTCGTTGTGGTGTGCACACAGACCATCACAAAGAATAGTTTACTGCCTTACTTCATTAGATATCAGAACTCTGCCCTCTCGTTCGTCTGAGCTGTTATAGCCAGAAGCCTCGGCACCCCTTTGCATGGTACTCGCCATCGCTTGGGACTGACTTGGGGATGGTCGCTTCACGCGATTCTTCGCCCTGCGCTTCTGCCTTGTGCATTTCTCAGCCTCCAAGGAGTGGCTACATGTATCACTGTCCTGAGAAGCTAGTCGATGAAACGGCTGTCGGCTAGGTGGTGGAACACTGGCGTCGCCATCGCTTGAGTCCTCAGATGAACTCCTCTGGTCAGGTGCAACGGGTTTGATTGTCATCCCTCCTTCACGTAGCTTTTCAGGAACTACAATATTATCATCGGTGCACTTCCACGACCATGCAAGTAACCATGCAAGTAAGGCGAAATTCACATTCAATAAGTTTTCCACTGGAGACGGGAAGCACTCAACTTTCCTTTCCAAACTGCTACTTGCAAATGGCACTAAAAATCACAAGATAATTATATGAATCTAGAAGTCCTGTTTGACTGAGCCGAAACGACTATCACATCCATCGGCGACTATGTGAACAACAAGTAAGGTTTCTCGAGGAACAATGTATTGTTGTCTGGATTACAAAAATACAAGTGGTGAGCCATTCTACGTGCATTGTCAGTCTTTGTTGCAGACATACATAATCCATGATCATCCCAAAGACGTGTACACGTGCATACAGTGTGTAGACTCAGTAGGCAGAAAGCATGCACAGTGTGTGCAGCAGGGAGTCGTCAAATACCACGACTCCCTGGTGTGCAGTGTGATGATTCTCGATCTCTGATCGATCCTACGATCGTCAAGTGACGCATGACGTTTTGAGCATTAGCAATGACATCATTATGATAATCACTTACGGAGGGTAAAGTACTTTCTTTCTTTTTTTTACAACTTGTACAAATTTATTGATTGAGTAATTATACTAAAAATGTTTGGCACCTATGATCAGGGGCCGGGGATGGCCCACGCCTGGTAAAAAAGTAAGTAATTAAAAAAAATTAAAAATAAGAGGTTCTGTGTTCCGGCTCTCCGCCTTCTCCGCGAACATAAGAGAACTAGAGGAGAACAAACAAACACAAGAAGCAAGAATGACACGAAAAGCAGAAATTATGAGAACATGGTATACATTGTAAATGAGCACGGCCATCAACCTCAACAGGGAAAGTACTTTCTTTCTGAGAGACTCTGAGTCTGACATAAAACCTCTTGTACGTACATGTACATGTACGGGCAAAATAACACGTCATTTGTGAAGAACCGTGAATTTTTTTTTTTTTTGTGAAGAATCAACACAACTACCGTATTTCCGCAAATAAAAGCTCGTATACAACGCCTTCCTTGTATACAATTGTACAAGGCCGGGGCAGGGGGCGATTGAAAAAATAAAAGACCGTCTCCGATTAGAAGACCGGACCTACTAAAATTAATGAGTTCTTGTGTTAAAAATGGAAGACCGTGCTCAAACTGTGGGAAAAAAATAGAAGACCGTGCTCAAACTGTGTAGAAGAAAATGGAAGAACGGGGGTAAAACTGTGTGGCCAATAGAAGACCAGGGTCAAACTGGGTTGAAAGAATAAAAGACCGTCCTCGAATACAAGACCGTCCTCGATTATAAGGCCGGGTTAGGGCGAGGTTGAAAAAATAGTAGACCGGCCCACTATTTGTGGAAATACGGTACATTATTATAATCAAGACAAGAGTCCATAAAAACAACTGTTTATGCACTCTTGATAAACGAGAGAGCTTGGAAGCTCAGGGCCCTGCGCTATGCTTTGTTGCCTAGCTCATCGTGCATGTTGTTAGAACTGATGGAAATGCTTTTTCCTTTGATAAGCTACATGATTGTATTGCAAAAACGTTTCAATGAGATACTGAAGTAACGTTTTCTGCATAGCTATGGGACCGGCGCTGACTCTGCCGATCACGGGCGTTCTGGAGTCGACGGGATGTCTGTCCTGACGTTTCCTGGGACCGGCGCTGACTCTGCCGATCACGGGCGTTCTGGAGTCGACGAGATGTCTGTCCTGACGTTTCCTGGGACCGGCGCTGACTCTGCCGATCACGGGCGTTCTGGAGTCGACGGGATGTCTGTCCTGACGTTTCCTGGGACCGGCGCTGACTCTGCCTCACGGGCGTTCTTCTTCTTCTCATTATTATTATACTGACGGCAACTAACATCCATTCTGATTGCATTTACTCGTCTCCCTACTTTGTATTTCTTTCCAGAAAATCTCCCCATACAGCAGGGAGTCGTTTACATAATGACTCCCTGCTATACATCTACATGACTGTATATACGTTATAATTATTATGCTATCGGCCTACATGCGATTCCCGGGCTGGTCGACAGGCGGCCCAGCCAGCCTGCTAGTGGGATCTCGGCCTCGCACACAAATCCACACAAAATGTACTGCACTGAATGCATTCCCCCATACACTTCGCATATAATTATATTCATTCTCTTGATGGTACGGGACAGGTACGGGATAGCGCCAGGCATGTCGATGGCACAAACAAACAAAAGTATTGTGGCCAGCTGTCTTTGCTGGTACGGTACAGTACGGGACAGATACGGGATAGCGCCAGGCGTGACACAAACAAACAAACAAACACCAAACGAGAGAGCTTGGAAGCTCAGGGCCCTACGCTATGCTTTGTTACTTAGCTCATCGTGCATGTTGTGGGAACTGATGGAAATGTTTCCTAGGAAGGCGCTGACTCGGCCGAGCACGCGCGTTCTGGAGTCGACGGGATCACTCTGCCGACGTTTCCTGTGACCGGCGCTGACTCGCCCGTTCACGCCTATTTTGGAGACGACGGGATCTCTCTTCCAAAGTATGTTTTTGCTGACGCATCCTATCACCAATTCGGCAACTAACATCCATTCTAATTTCATTTCCTCCTCGTCTCCCTATTTCTTTCCAGAAAGTCTCTCTATACATTAGGGAGTCGTACTTTATTGGCAGCTACCCTAACGGGTCACGCCGCCCACCACCCAAGCATGGGTATGATGAGGGACAGTGGCAACAGAAACAAAAAAACAGCAAGCAGGGAGAGAAAGCAAGAGAAAGACGGCGATAGTAGTACATCTGGTGTGCGACATATAAAAAAGAGAGATGACAAGAGATGCGCACAAAATAGGAAACAATAATTATGTTTGCTGTTCCGAAACAATCAACCAGGTGATGGAGTGTGGGCACCCGAAGTCCCACCTGGACTCCACTGGAAGAACATCCCACGCAGGGATATCAGCGATAGGCCAAGCGTTGAAAAACAGCCATGAGGACACATCGTCTAGAAGTCCACCGCGCTCGAACTGAAATTGCAGGTTCAAACAATTTCCCACGCGGCGTCAGGCAGCGTAACTCTTCTCCCTGCATCACCATCCATCTCCAGCAACCGTCTCCACTCACAGCTCATGCCTCTGCCACCACTGTACTCCTCCGAGCTTCGCAGTTTGAAACCATTCGGGGGTCAGCTACACCACCGCGAATGGAGAGACGAGGACGACAACGGTCGTGACTGAAAAGACACTGCCTTGGCGACCGCGTCGCGGAACCCTCGCCCCAGCAAATTCAGAAATACGCCAGGGGCAACTCTGGTGGACTCAGAGCCACCCCCTTGGCAGGACTATACTAGTAAGAGGAACGACTGAAGTAGAAAACTCAGTCATTATGTAACATGTCTGAAGTACTAAACTGGTAATGGCGACTAGTTGTGTTCCTTGTCTGGTCTAGTGTGCGTGCCTTGAGTAGGTACTAGGTATGTGTGAAGTACTACATGTAGTAGTACTAGTACTAGTACGAAGTAGTTCGTGCAATGCATGTCAGAAATGGTATCAAAGCATTCGTACTCGGACTCAAGTGCTAGAATCGGAGCCCTCCGCGCTAGCGCGCGTCGGGCTCCGATTCCGCACTTTCGTCCTCGTACTCATGCTCGATTCCATACTTCTGACATGTCACATGACAATCGACATGGCAACAGCGAATCCTAGCGCGACTTGCCGTGCTTTGAATCAGCCACTGAAGACCTGTGAGCGCTTGCAGGTCTCCGATTTTCCAATCGGAGCACGCCCAGGCGTGCCCAGGCGTGCTCCGATTGAATCGGAGCACGCCTACAATGTAGGCGTGCTCCGATTCAGCCATCAGAGGCCGCTTTTTTTTTTGCAAACTGCAATGTTCACCTGCACCTGTAGGCTGTAGGCTGTAGTCACTGCGAAGAAGAGAAGCTGAACTGACCTGGTTTTTAGCTGACTAGACCGCCCTTGTTTTATCTCTGTGTTGTGACTGTGTACATTAGTCATTATGTAACATGTCTGAAGTACTAAACTGGCGACTAGTTGTGTTCCTTGTCTGGTCTAGTGTGCGTGCCTTGAGTAGGTACTAGGTATGTGTGAAGTACTACATGTAGTAGTACTAGTAGTACGAAGTAGTTCGTGCAATGCATGTCAGAAATGGTATCAAAGCATTCGTACTCGGACTCAAGTGCTAGAATCGGAGCCCTCCGCGCTAGCGCGCGTCGGGCTCCGATTCCGCACTTTCGTCCTCGTACTCATGCTCGATTCCATACATAAAACAGAGCTACAAAAAGTGCAACCGTCCCCTTCAAGCACAGTTGCAACACGCAGGGAGTCGTATACATGTACATAATATTGTGGCCAGCTGTTTGTAGCCAGCTGTGTTTGATGGTACGGTACGGTACGGGACAGATACGGGAGCCAGCAAATGGCCAGCTGTGCGATACGGTACGGGATAGATACGGAATAGCGCCAGGCGTGACACAAACAAACAAACAAACAAACAAACAAACAAACAAACGAGAGAGCTTGGAAGCTCAGGGCCCTGCGCTATGCTTTTATGCTTTTTTGCCTAGCTCATCGTACATGTTATAAGAACTGATGGGAATGTCTTTTTCGTTGATTGGCCACATCACTGTATTGCAAAAACGTTTCAATCGGTTTGCTTATGAGTTAGGCAAAAGTATTTGCAGAATTTATTGCGGATTGTCATTTCTCTAATAATCATCTACTTTTGTTTTGCTCCTTCTTTTCTTTTTATCTTCTTATATTGTAAATCAACAAATTTTGGCCGATGAGAAATAGAAACCTCTCTATTACAGTATTAGAGAGGTTAAGATGCACGTTATTTCCGACGTGACGCGCAGTTTCACGTCAAATTTGAAATCGATCGGTATTTTTGCTCTCACATGCATCCATTGCTCAATCATGCATCATTTGCCTATATGACAAACGTTGGCCTGCGATTTACTTTGGCCGGTTGGTACCAAGCGGCGAAATCAGCGAAATTAAATCGCCAGCGAACATTAGTTGATTTTAAGGTACTAGTACTCTTTTCGCGGCTGTATCTGGGTCGACCGCACAAGAAGAGGCATTACTTTGGTCCCACACAAGCAAATCACTCCAAATTTTCTCCACACACAGATGAAAAAGTAGTGATTGCAACAGCAGAAAATATATTGTCATGCTTTGCGAGATCCTTGGAAAATGTAAATCAGAATGTACACTTTCTGTCGATATGACGGGCTACACATTTTCTTAAAAAAATGTCCAGGAAAAGACTATTTGATGGGTCCA